CCCGAGGAGGTATGTGGACCAAATAACTTTGACATCAGGCAATAAATTAATAATCCAATCATTGAAAATTACGGATTCAACGTTCCAAACCAGCTGGCTAAATTTCAGCCTAGTCTAGCTTTAACAAAATCGCAAATGTAGATTTGCCAAGACTGCCTGTGAATATATAAAAATTGTTTTCTTTCTTCTTCTCTCTCAAATGGTTGCATGCACCTTAATCATGAATATGACCTCTCTTACTTGACCTAATCTCAACCTTCTGCACTTTAGTAAGTAAGATTTATAATGGACTTGAATATTGGACTTTTCTCCATATATGAAGGGAGGCCAAATCCAACACTTTGATCCAATAAATGAGCAGTTTTGATTAGTCTAAGAGGGTGCATAAATCCCACTAGTCCCCACCTTAACAACCCCTAGTGCTCTTAATTATATAGTTTATTATATTAGGTTTTGGTAAGTGGAATTACTCCCTCTCTCCTTATATATAAGGTATTTTTAAAAAGTTTATTTTTTTTAAATATAAAAGGCATCATGATATTTTTGATTAATTAGACAATTTTGCCATTGTTTTGAAGAAAAAAAGAGCTATTAATTGGGTTCTTTATGCACCACTACCATGATATTAATTGACATTAATAGGGGTAAAATTGAAAAATTATTGTGATTTAATGTGATTTTAATTAAATAACAAACTTTGATTAGCATGCACAATTCAGTTAAAAACACTTTATATTCAAAGACAAATGGAGTAATTAAATTAAAACATGAAAATATTAGGCACGGTAATTGGGAGTATATATATTATTTCCCCATTTTCTGAATATTTTATTTGCGGTGAGTTCTTTGAAGCTTCCTTCACCTGCCTCGCCCATAATTTAGTCTCCGTTACTTTTTTTATTATCAACTTGTTGCCGGTTTTCGCTCGAACTCATAATTCAGATTAGATATGTTTGTCCTTGCAGATCTTGGTGGAAGAAATTAGGACACCAATGAATGAAAAAGATGGAATAATTGGTGCCGAGGCATCAATATAATAATAATAATCAGGTATTAAAAAATATTAGGGATAATTTCAGTAAGAGACAGCAAGTGTCCATCTATTTGAGGTAATATTGTTCATGGTCAAATATTAAACGTAGACATTTCTCTTAGTAGAAATTTAAACTTTGATTCATTGTTTTATGAAGAACTAGCTCATTCTTCTAAACCAAATTCCCATTCTAAATTGCTCAGGTCATCTTTTTTTCTAATTTTTTCAATATATGGTTTTGAACTATGTAAGTCAAATTTTATATATGATAAAACGTTGAGGTCAAATTTAATCGTTTGAATTTATTTATTTATTTGATATAATAATAATAATTTTATAATAATTAGTTATTATTATAATAAGAATAAATGAGCAAATTATCTCTCTAAACTTTAGATTCAGTAGCACCACAAATTTTTTTGTTGTATAAATTATTTCCTTCACATTTGAAAATGATGCAATCTAAGTTCTGCCACAAATAAAAGCTAACTTTTACCGTTAATTAATGAGAAAATAATGGCAAAAGAATCTCCAAAATTACAGAAAAAGACCAACAAATTATAATAAATGACCAAAAAATACAAACAAGGAAAAAAATTACAAAAAATGACCAAAATTTTTTTGGTTTTTTATATAATTTTTGAGGTCATTTTCTGATCAATTAATGATTAAAATTAACTTTTGTTAATAGCAGTTGTTAGATTATACTATTTTTAAAAGTGGAGAAAAAAATTTGCACAATAAAAAAGTTCAAGATTTATAGTATTACTGGACCTAAAGTTTAAAGAATAATTTACTCATTTATCCTTATAATAATAACTTGTGGTTTTGGGGAAAAAGAAAAAGCCAAACCTTTGCTGTGAAACCGTGCAGTTTTGATGACCGTATCCCCGTTTCCCCATTGTTGCAATTTGGTGCGGCCACATAAAATTCGATTTTCATATTGAATGTCAAGTTTGTGAGAATGGCAAATAAGGATTTTGTAAAAACATGATAGAAAGAGTATTAAAATTTGAGAATATCAGTGTTAAAAAATCCTAACTTGATATTAATATTTTTATAAGATCCTTATTTGTCATTCTCCCTTCTAGTTTTTTTAATATAGGTTTTGCAATAAAATAAATCATCGTCTAATTTTTACATGCAGTTAATGGCTTATAAATGAACTGTGGTAGGTAGGATTTGACAGATAAAACTTATTTAAGGTTAGGAGTTTTATTTATTTATATTGCTTTTCTATTTTTATTAGAAAAATCACAATTAAGGATCAAAAGATCTAAATGTAATTAAAATTTATTATAAAAAGATAAAAATATTCCTTATATGTATATATATACTCTTTTAACAATAAGTCTCCATTTGAAAAAAAAATTTTCATTTTCATTTTAATAATAATTAAGTCCCTTATTAACAGCTCTAAAAAATTAATTTACTAGTGGTGAGGAACAAATGCTGTGAATTAGTGAACAAGTCCACATTCAAGAAAAAAGTAATTGTCATTTCTATTTTAACAATAATCAATTTAAAATAAGACTTAGCTTAATTATTACAGTTTAAAATCTCCAAAATGATAAGACAAAAGAAGGCCTTAGGGATACTAATAAGATTAATTGCTGTACAGTTTCTCAAATTTAAGAATTTGAGTTTTGATATTACAGCAATTGAGGGATATGAAGTTGCAATAATCTAGCACGCGCGCGCTTTGAGATCTGACTTTCAAGATTTGTAACCCCTCCAAATCAGACATCTTAATTAACTAAATTTTTCGAGTCACTAAGATTCAAGATTTTCAAGTTAGGGAGAATCTGTAAATGAAAGAGTATGGGAGTACAGACTTGGATATAACCTAAATAAGAAATGTAATAAAAAATTCGAAACCAAATTAAAGTATACTGATCAGCTGGACTCTTTGTTCTGTGAAATAGTCAATGTTGGCACCATGAGTGTTCTAAGATATCAAAAATTTGAATTATTTGTTGTTAATGACAATAAACTGTAATATTTCATTTGTTTTTTTTTATAATCAACAACAAACAACACTCTATCATTATCTATTTATCATTGCAAATGGAGATAAAAAGGTAAGGCCCTGTTTGATTACCTATTTTTAAAATAGTTTTTGTTTTTTTAAGACCTGTTTCAAAAATATTATTTTATTATCTGTTTTGAAAAATAAAAAAATTAAAATTTGTTTTGAAAAACTAAAAAATTAGAACATCTTTTTAATATTTTAATATTTTTTGTTCCACCAAACTAAAAAAATATCATGTTTTCATCTGTTTGGACAAAAAAAGGAGAAGTGGGCCAGATTACTATACCAGGCCCAACACAGAGAATTCCTCAATTTAACCCAACTAGATAATTCTAAGAGACCGGACCTCAACAGCTTAATGAAAGTGGTGACCAAGTCCAAAAGTCATAACCCATCATCCGTGAATCTTGGAGTACTCACCGTGGCACAAACCCTCTCCATAAAGTGCCAAGTAGGGGTGTTTACAATACAAGATGTAACTGAGACATTCTTGTCTCGTATCTAGTCCCAAAAAAAAAAAATTGAGATTAAATTTTTATCTTATGTCCTGTCCTGTTCTATCTCAAAAGTTGTCTCGTCTCGTTAGAAATTGAGATGGGGGCGAAACGAGATATGAACATCTCGTCGTTTTAATAAATTAGACAATATCAAAAAAATTATGAATAATAATATTTATTAAAATTTTAAATTATATAATTTATTAAGTTTAAAATCAAAATAATACAAGTACATAAATCACAATAATTTAAATTAATTATTAAATCGCATTAATCACAATTACATATTATGATAGCAATTATAAGTGATCTCTAAGCTATAAGAGCAGTAACAACAGGCAAGCTAAATACAACATTAAATTATTGTTCTTCTACTTTAGTTGAGATATGCTAAATTAATTACTCTTCTAAAAATAAAACAAGAAATATGATACAAATAAAAGTTATTAAATAGACAGATCTAAGAATAAATTATATTAATGTAATTAATACATTATAAAGAAATATATCATCCTGTTTACTCTATATCATTAAAATCATCAATATAAAAAACTTTAATTTATATAAGAATTGCAAGTATTGATATTATAATTGATATAATTAATATAATTAATATAAGTATAAATTTATATTAATATATTTAATGTATATTTTTAAAATAAAAATATATATATATAATATTTGAGATGGGATGGGACGTCCTAATAGTAATCCATTGTCCCGTCCCGTCTCGATTGTTTTTGTGCTAGGAAGAGACCTATCTTGATATGATTGGAATAATATTAGGCAAATCGAGACGGATATAAGCTGAACACCTTTAGTGCCAAGTGGTGCATTGCTCCAAAAACTCGAGTGGAAACTCACCAAACATCATTAAAGACAATTATGTTAATAAAATAAATAATTATTCCCCCCCTTTATTTCACTATTTAATTTATACTCCCTCCATATAAAAATGTAAGGCATTTTTAACCGAATCTCACTCCCATTAAAGTAGTTACCTACTTTTAACTAACTCTATTTTTTTATATTTATCCCTATTAAACACTCTACAATAAACATAAAGTCATTATTAATTAGGACACTTTTGAAAAAAAGACAATAATTACACTTTAAAAGATTAAAAATGCCTTACATTTTTAAACATCCAACTCCTCAAAAAAATATCTTATATTTTTTAAGAGAAGGAGTCTATGTTTTCCAGAACAATGATGCAAACACTTTTTTTTCCATCTTTTGTTTTCAAAACTCATTCTAAAAATATTACTGTACGGAATTGTCTTCAAAACATAAAAACAAAAAAACAGAGTCAAACAAGCCCTAAGTCTCTTCTCTATAGGCATGATAGAGGATGCTCCTCATAACACTTAACAGTAAGTAAGAAATTTAATTATACAGAGTATTAATGTAGAAATAAATATGAAGAGAGTTGAGGAAGTAAGAGAAAGAGAGGATCAGATCTATGGTAAACAAGCTCGATTAATTACTTATACAATCATTTTTTGAGTACCATAGTGCATTTAAATAGATTTGTTTCCACATAGCTTTTGTCTTTTCTGAGGAAATGGTTGCTGAATAATTTCTCTTTCACCAACCTCCTCAAGAGAAGAAAAGTCCAGACAACTAACAAACTTGGAGCAACAAGTCAAATTTAGAATTTCTAACGAAGGTAATGAAAATAACTTATTTGGAATACTACCAAGATTAGTATAATTTCTCAAATTTAAGAATCTGAGCTCTGAAAAATGAGCAACAGACGGATCAAGCTTTGACAATTTCGTGCATTGTCCTTCAAGGTCTAGCCTCTCAAGTTCAGGAAATTCTTTAAAATTTGGCATCTTGGTTAAATCTTTGGAGCCACAAAGATTCATGTTTCTCGAGCAATAGAAAATCTGCGAATGAAAAAAGTGTACTTGACAATCAGCTGTACAATGTAAGTTAGAGGGACGTGCATCGCACAGTTAACATTACCTTTTCTCGTCTCCAATGGCGGACATCAGTGTGTGTTGGTAACTGTGAGTGGGGAGATACCTGAAAACGAAGCAAGAAGCAAGGGAGGTAAAAGTTTTTCAGAGAACTTCACAGTTCACACACAAACACTTAAACATATGTATGCTCTTGACAAAGTTATCCGACTTCATGATTTTTAAGATATCGTAGTTAATATTTTTAAACTTGTAAAAAACAATTGACTTTTCAATTTTGCTCTTCACTGAAATTACTGACCACAATAAAGTGTGTCTACAAATTATAACTTGGTGTAATTAAAGAGGGATAATATCAAGGAAAAATTTATTACTACAATTTTTCCCTATATCTATAACCAAATATAGCTTTAAAACTTTTCCATAAAATTAGGACGGGAGGGAGTATATACATGCATAAATAAAAATAAAAGTATAAAATATATTACAATGTATTAAATAAAATCATATATTTTATCATTTAATAAAAATATTTTGATTGTTTCTTATAAATGAGTTGTTTCCATTTACTTGTGATGGAGTTATAAGGTATACCTTTTCTTCATCCCATATGCTTGTGATGCTGCTATCAAGCAAAATGAATTCCCTGAGAGAATATGGATAAAAAATATATGATGGCAAAGAAGTGAAAGGATATTGGTGCCATGAAGTATATCGGAGCCTATATGAAAGATGCTTTAGAACTCCAGAAAATTTCACGTTACGAAATATGAGCAGTCTAAATCTGCTCGTTCGTGATAAATTTTTGATCCTTAGCTGACTCCTTTGTGAATCTTCTAGATCCAAGACTATAGCTTCAACTTTAAAAGTAGCCTGTGAATATATACAAAATATAAAAATAACGTAAAGTGATTACTTTAATGTTGATGTTCCAACCAAACAATATGTTAGCAAAACTTACCTTGTTACTGTGCATAACACAATAAATATCATCGAAGTTCCATAATTTACTTCACTCTTCTGGCTCAGAAGGGAATTTATGCTGAACAATTTCTCTCCCCATTTGTTGAAGCAAACTATGCATCATTTGTATTTTTTGATCTATAATGGTGATGAGTGATTTTTTCAACTGAAAGCTGAATCCCAAGAAAATCAAAAGAACGCAAAATTCCTTCTATAAATTTAATCTCCTTCCCTATGAAGAAGCATGCTATGTCTAAAAATGCTTCCTTCATATGTATTATAGTTCGTCAAAGCTTCTTTTCAGGATTTTCATTATAACATTGTTAGCAACCTTTTCAAGGTCAATCATGGCCCATTCTGAAGGTTTCCTATTATACAAGTTGAGCCCAATTCTACAATTGTTAATGGAAGGCTATTAGCATATTCGAGTACACAATTTATTACTCATCGTAACCTCTAAGGGGAAAATAACTTTGAAAGCTTTTCTACAAAGTAACTGAAGAGTTTCATCTTGAGTCAATAATTTAACCCTATAATACTGTGCCTCTCAAACACATGAAAGACTCTTTCATCTCTTATTTATAATGATCCTACTCCCTTCACCTAACAAACTAGTTTTTATAGCTAATTTTTATAGTTTTTATGTCTTTCCTATTCCACCCATACCACAAATGCCCACAACTCGAACTGCGTCATTTGTACCCGAGTCTAGAAGCTTTTCTACTTCTTTCACTCTAGATTGTGTTCCCACGAGGTCAACGTCGGCATAAATTAATTCACGCATTTTTTTCTTGATCTCTCCAACCATGTCATCAATACCTTGCGGTCTTGAGCTGAACAGAGGAAGAACAATAAAAGAACCAAATTAGTCCACAATCTTTTTTACTAATTGATCAAGATTTACTTGAAAACCTCTATAATTTGTCCATAGTGACATGAAAGTTATGATATAGAAAAAACCAAGCAAATTACTTACTCAGATTGTACATCCCAGCCAGAGAGGTTGGCCTCTCGCTTCGTTGCCAACCTCCAGCTTTGCACCTTGCGTAAATTTGATGTGAACCTTTGTTCACGTTCAGCAAAAGCTTTTTCAAAAAAATTACTCTGGTTTTGTACCTCTGATAGATCTACACCATAGAAAATCGGGAAAACATTGTATCATGGTTCATGAATGTGCGCAGCAATCTCAGAGAGCTCCTCAAGGCACCATGTGGAAGAAGCATAGCTTTTGGTGAAGACAACAATGGAAATGTTGGATTGTCGAATTGCTTTGAGAAAGTGACGTGGAAGAAAGATGGAATCACTGGGTTCAAGCTTCTTGTCATCCCAAAAGGGTATTCAAATCGTTACTTTCAAGAGCAGCCCAAAGCCTATCTGTGAATCTGCAAGTCTCATCATCTCCTCTGAAACTCAGATACACATGGATCGGCCTTGATGATGATCCATTAATGAAACTCTCCATTTGCCTAAAGCCTTTCGGCCTTGATGGTCAGCAACCTTGAGTCACCGTTGCTCACTGTGCTGTTGAAGATCTTTTAATGGCCCTGCGAATATTGGAAAAGACCGAAAGAGATATGACGAGTGGGTGCGCCTTCGATTGAGAATTAAATTAAAAATTTATCGATTTCTAATACACCTTTTCTTCTGTTGACTGTGAGGTTACTTGAGTTAATAAGCCGTGTGATTCAGTGGGTAAACAGTTGAGAGACAAAGAAACCAGCTTGCATGCCCATTTTGATAATTAATTGGGAGAATTATTCTCGTTTGTTTATTTCATGGGATTTTTTTAAAAATTAGAATTCATATATGAGACCTAAGTGTGATGTTTCCTTTCTTTTTCGGCCAGAGCATAATAACATTAATTTGAAGCGTCTTTTTCACACTCAAAATGCCAATTACTGTTTTTGCCAATAACTTTTCCTTTGGAATAATTCAACCCCACTATATATATATATATATATATATATATCTTGTCCATTCACCTTTGTTGGACTTTTAAGTTCTTATATTAGTAATGACATTGAAGAAAAGATATGTGCGTTTCTTTTAGGACCCGTTTGATAATAAAAAAATGAAATAAAAATAAAAAATAAATAGAAGGGAAAAATAACTTAATAATAAGGAATGTCCTTTATAATAAAAATGTAATAAAGACAAATGTGTTACTTTGTGAAAAGACAGGTACATGCACAACACAATATTTATAAAGAATATGACAGTGTCCATATGTGAATAACATACAATATCTATTTATTATATATAATTTATGTGAATAAGTTAACCAATAATATATAAGTTTTTTAAATACATACACATTACAATGTCTATAAAAAAATATGACAATGTCTATATATTAACAATACAATGTCCGTTTATTATATATAATCTTGTGTTTATGGGCAAGTATGTCTTTTCATGAAAAAATAAATTTGCATTTGAAATCTTTGGGCTTATAGAAACAATTCAAAATATATTGGGTTTTAGGTGTGGTTTTTTTTATTATATATAAAAATTTAAGTTTGATTCTTTTATTTTATTTTTTTAAAAAAAAATTGATGGTAAGCTGAGTTTGAAATCCTCCATGGAAAAGGTCAATTGATGGGACCGAAGCTGGTACCGAGCATTTTGCTCCCCAGTCCACAAATAATGACGCGCCAACAGAGTGTTAATATAATATTGACTGTTGAGTGTTGTCTTGAAATATGTGTTCACGTGAAGGCACAAACATCACTAAAGTAAATATGTTTTTTTTAACTTATCATGTTGGTGTTTCTTTATGAGACAGCTTTTCTGGACTTGGACATATGCACTTGGTTTTTTACCCCTCCGTTCAAGCGGCGTCCCACTTTGCCTTGAATAAGTCATCAATATACATTGTAAAGCACTGTAAAGCTACAGTTCTTTAAACAGTGCTTTTCTTTTTTTTTTTTTTAATAGCTAGTGAATAATTTTGTTAAGATATATATATATATATAGTGTGGGACCCATGATAAAAAGTGGGTGGAGAACTTGTCATTAAAATTGTGAGTGTAGAGCTTATATTTATAAATTTTAAAAATTTAGACCAGATATAAAAAATAATAAAATTTGTATATTTTAAAAAATTATGTAATGATATTTTACGATATATATTGATATGTCAAGGATGAAATTTTACTCCAACAATTATCAATTAATGATTAAATGAATATAAATAAAAATTTAAAAATAGAAGATATGTTGTGTATTTTGTGATTCTTAAAATAGAGGAGAAAGTAATATATTTTATTTTAAAAATACTAAAATAAATTTTTAATATTTATTTTTATTTTTTAAAATCAAAACATTCCCGTGCATCGCACGGGGTATAAATCTAGTTATGAAGACAAGCCTTTAACCAGATGATCCCGCAGGATAATAAGTGAAGGAGATTTTAAAATTTAATTTTTTGATAGCTGTTTGAAGGAATAAAATACTTAATGCTTCCCTATATGTATGTGTAACTAAGTCAAAATTTAAGGATTAAGTTATAATACAATATCATGCAACTATTGGTATAGTAAGAGTGTTTACAAGCTTGGTTCAATTTGATTTTGAGAAAAAAATCAAATGGAGTCAAACCAATCAGTTCACTATAATTTGGAATATGTTCAATTTTTTTTCCAATTGATTTAGTTCGATTCTTGAGCAAATCAGCAATTGGGAATGATGATGAGATTAATGAAATTTCTCAAATTTAAGAATTTGAGCTTTGAAAGCTTAGCAATGGATGGATGAAGTTGCAATAATCCAACACATCCTTCAAGGTCAAGTCTTTCAAGATTTGTAACTCCTTCAAAACCAGGCATCTTGATCAAAGCTTTGGAGCCACATAAATTCATGTTTCTCAACTTAGGAAGCATCTATAAGAAAGAGAGTAGTAGTAAAGATGATTGGCTTTGATTTTATATAAATCATTGATTTAATTGACTAATTCAATTCCTATATAGGTTTATTAATAACATGCAACAATAATAAAAAAGAACAATAACATTACCATTTTTCCCTTCCAAACTTTTGCAATGTTGCTATCTGGCATAATTAATTGAACAAGTATATCAAATTGAAAACTTGATGGCAAATAAGGGAAAGGATATTGATACCATGAAATATATTGTAACTTTCTTGAAAGATTGTTTGAGATCTTCAACAAATTTCACATTACAAAATGAGTAATCTAAGATTGCTCCTTTGTGATAAAGCATCGATCCTCAGTATATTGCCTCTAGGCTCTTCCAAATCCAAGACTAAAGCTTTAACTCTTTTCATAGCCTAATCAACAATGCATTTATACACATCAGTATAAATATGAAATCTTTGTTAACTATTGCTTTAATTTGGTAAACTACCATGCCTTACTAATGAAAGAAATAAAAAAAGGTATATTGAGGATATATAAGCTAGTGTGTGCATGTCATTTTGGTCTCATGGTTTTAGTTAGTTATGCCACATGTCGTTTATTCCAGTTTATTATGTATATATACTTGTTGTATCAGGTTTACTCTTTAATGGAATAGAGTTTTCCAGTAAGTCAATATTGCACTGCAAGATCTCCTTAGGTGTGATCAAGTGATCTATTGATTTTTAACATGGTATCATGAGCAAGGTTTGCGTGGGCCTTAAAAATTAAGAACTCCAGTCATTTTTTAAAGAATTGCGCCTGAGTGTTTTCTCCAAGCTTGTTTTCTTTCAAGACTACAAGAATTGGACCAAGTAATAAAAAAACCAAATCCACAAGCCTCAAGAATTTTACAGATGCAACAAGCAGTTTGATGTACACAAAATGCTGTGTTCCATAAAACCTAATGGTGTATTGCTGAAGCCTCTAGAAAGTTTCCTAATTTCACCTTCCCCATCGTGCATCTCCTTCGGCTAAGCCCTAACCCTTCTTATCTCTTATAAGCGATTCTTGCTTTCCCTATATCAACTCTATAAAAAGATATTCTCAATCACCATTGATCCAACTATAGCTGAAGACAAGAACGCTAGCAGCATCATTGATTTCACTCATTGCCTTTACTTGCATCCCTTAAACACACAAGCCGCATCTCTTGTGCCTCACATCCTCATTAGACTAGAAAACTACACAATCTAGAGCAAATCTATGAGAATCGTGTTACTTGGCAAGAATAAGGTAGGGTTTATTCATGGTACTTATACAAAGGAGTTGCAAGAACTGTCTCTTCGTCCACAATGGGAACGATGCAATGCTATGGTTTTATCTTGGCTGCTGAACTCAGTGTCAAAGGATTTAGCAAACAGATTCTCATACGCACAGAACACGTTCTCTGTGTGGACATATCTAAAAGAGAATTTTGATAAGGTCACTGGATCAAGAATCTTTGCTATACATCGCGAGATCAATGGCCTTGTTCAAGGTTCTATGCCTATTTCAGCCTATTATACGAAGTTGAAAGAGTTATGGGAAGAACAATTGGCATTAATTGCCATCCCAACCTACAAATGTGATGTTTCAAAGGTCTATGTTGATTTAGTCTAGTAATAACATCTCCTGCAATTTCTTATGGGGCTCAGTGAGTCATATGGTTAGGCAAGAAGTCAAATTCTCCTAATATCTCCCCTTCCCCCTGTAAACCAAGCTTATAATATGATTGTGGAAGACAAGACGCAAAGAACTATTGTTAGATCAAGCAAGTCATCTCCAATTGAAGGAAGTGTAATGGCTGTAGGAAGAGGACAAGGATGTGAAAGGGGTCACGGATGTGGTAACTCTTCACTGGAGTATTCCCATTGTCACAAAGGGGGATACCTTAAGGAAAGTTGCTACGAGATGATCGGATTTCTAGATAATTTCAAGGGAAATAAAAACAAATGTTCTCAAGAGAACAAATCTGGTTTAGTGAAAAATGAAGCTACTAATGGGGCCAATGAAATAGAGCAGACTATGGCGCCTACTTTTACTCAAGAATAATATGAGCAGATACTTCAGATGTTGAAGAAGGTCTCAGAGCCTACTGTTCATGCACTTAGGAGTGAGCATCAATTTTATTGGTTCAGTTCGGTTACTTTTTGAGAAAACTGACAGACAAAAAATAGCAATGATTTAAACTAAACCTAACCAAAGTAGGAAGGGAAACTAAACTAAAACCAAATTGAAGTTTAATGTTTCGGTTCGATTATTTATTTTGATTATTTACTTTATCTTCCTTAGCACCAACAGGTTCACCATAAGTAGACATCTCAACCATGAAATTAACAAATAATAAATTAGAAGCTAGAAGAAGTAGAGATCATAATATTGAACAAACAAAGCGAGATGGAGTTCCACCTTGCAAGTTGCGTCGAACAGGGGTTGAAATAGAGAAATGCAAAGGCACGAAGAAGAAAATAGAGGCATAAAAGCACGATTGCATAGAGGCACGAAAGGGAGAAGAAGTTGAGCTAATGCCTGACGGACAAAGCGAGCACAAGAGAATGATGAAAATTAAGACTACAACCATGAGAGCTTGAAGAAGAACGAAGTGGAGAAGTAATGAGGATAAGGCTTGAAGTTTGAGATTGAGAGGGTGCTATGATCTGGAGAAGTGAAAAGAGA